CTGCCCTCCTCTCCCTTTCCCCCTGCCCTCCTCTCAGTTTAACCCCCTCTTCCCCGCGCTCTTTGCCGTATCCACCCCTCTTTTTCCTCCGGGACTCCTCTTGCGGGATGTGCTTACTGGCTGGCGGGTGGGGAGGCTGGAGCTCCCGCGCCATATCAAGATTAGGTTTAGTCGGCGGCGAGCAACGAGCCCACAGCGCGTGGCTCGAGGTGCGAGGCGCGTGGTCTCTCGATTCCGCGTCTTGCGCGGGGACCTCGTTTTCTTTGCGCCTCGGTCAAAGGGCAGCTTAGCGCCGAGCTCGTCTGCACGCGTGCCGCATGCGATGGCTAGCGCGACGAGGCGCAGGACGTTCAACGGACGAAAGAGCTCGAAAAGGTGATGCGCGAGTTGCAGTCGAAGATTCGATGACCCGGCACCCCGAAAAATCACACGTGTAGTTGGTGTTTTTCGGACATGGCCGCCCCTCGAACCTGTCGACTTCCATCGGGTCAGCGACATAGGGAAAGACGCAAGATTATGAAGAAGCAGGGGCAGGATCAGGCGACCGACGGAGGCAGAGGGCGGGATGGAATAGCACGCAAGAACAGCCTCTAGGAACTCCAGGGCGGTCCTGACTGACCTAAAACGGGGACGCTCAGACAGGGGGAGGGCATGACTGATTGCGAGCTGTGCGACAGTGTCACGCGACAACCAGACTGCACGGGCAAGGGCAGCAGCGGCAGCGGACTCACGGTCAGCAGACGTGGGGTCAGGGGGCAGAGCAGCAGGGGGTTCAGGGAAGGGGAGCGTATTGTCGATGTGGACGGCCAAGGAGTAGCCGTCCTGCCGCTGACCAGAGGGGTGACGGCGGAGGTCGACGAGCCACGTGTCGAACTCGACCGGCTGACCCTCCGCGTCAAAGCGCAGCACCGAGTTCGCCATCAGGGTCGATGCAGCGGCAGAGAGGCGGTAGGCGGGAACCTGTGGGGTGCAGTGCAGTGCAGTGCACAGCAGGGCGGTGCAATGTGGTGTGGTGCGGTGCAGTGCGGTGGAGGGCGGTGAAGTGCGGTGCATGGCGGTGCAGTGCGGTGCAGGGCAGTGCAGGACCGCAGGGGCCGGCTGTGCGACAGGGCCAGGTGGGCGACGGGGCCAGCTGGGGGAAGGGGCCGGCGTGGCGACAAGGTCAGCTGGGCGATGGGGCCGGGCGGGCGACGGGGCCGGGCAAGTGGCGTGGCCGGCTGTGCGGAACGGGCCAGCGCGGGCCAGCTACGGGACGGCTATGGGCCGGGCTAAGGGACGGGCCGGCAGCTCTTCCTCCTCGTTTTTGGCCTTATGCAATGGACCACGCCGTGCTGTTACACAACCTGCTGTCTTCCGCGTCACTGCTCGAGTTTTCTTCACCTCACCTGCAGTGGACACGAACCATGGGAAGTACAAAACTCTTACGCGTTTTTGGGTGTGTCTTGCAGTTTCGACCTCCAACTGCAGCACTCGGCAAATTTTCCGAACGAGCAAAATGGGGGGTATACCTCGGCATCGAAAAACAGCATCACGCATGGAAGATTTTGGATCTTTGTTCCAACCAAATCGTCCCTTCACGTGATTGTCTCTTCTATGAGCGAATCACCTTGCCCGTTTTTCGTGCCCACCAGGCAGCGGCTGCCAACCCCGCCAGGCTGTTCGAAGGTTCGCGTGCATTTGCAACCGACGAAGCCGAAGCTGATGTACAACACGACGCAGTTTTTGAAGCCTCCGAAGCTGCCGCAACAGACATTCCCGAACCTGTCACGTCGTCTGGCGTCCCGGAATTTATTCCCCTCACTGACGCTGACCCGAATGACGTTCGCGTAGTCCACCTCAGTTATGAATGCGATCGTCAACAGCAGCAGATGCCAACCGTCTCCGACGAAGCAGTCCGTGTTACACTTGACGAAATTGGGGGGGAAGAAGGACCAGAAGAAAATTTCGCAGGTGCAAACGGAGAACGTCCGCGTTTTACAGAAACTGGTTTACAGATTCCTGGATTTTCAGTCGCAGTACAGTACAACGACAGTAAGATACCTGAACCAAAAACAGTACGACAAGCTCTTACGAGTCCCCACCGAGAAAAGTGGCGCGAAGCCATGGAAAGAGAGCTAGCAGCTCTCAAGAGTCGCGGCACATGGGAGTTAATACCGACATCAGAAGTAAAAGGAAGAAAGGTACTTACCGGAAAGTGGGTCTTCCGTGTCAAGACTAATGCAGATGGGACGTTAGAAAAAATCAAGGTGCGATGGGTCGTCCGCGGGTTCGAGCAGACTTATGCCATCGACTACGAGCTGACATTTGCTCCCGTCGGTCGACATGCGAGCATTCGGATTTTACTCTGTAATGCCGCCTGCCGCAATCTACGACTTCGACAAATCGACGTGGCAAACACATTTCTCTACGCACCCGTCGACGCACTCATTTTGGTAGAGTACCCACACTCGTACACTACTAACCCACCGAGCGTGTGTCTTCTCATAAAATCGCTCGTGCCTTGTCTGTACTTGTTAGATTGGTCTTCAGACCCTTGTCTCAGAGGTTGGACTAGTAGTGCCACCTTGAGCTGCTTGTCTCTCACCAGGCACTGCCCCTATCCAGTCTAGGGGGTGTGTCAAACATATCTTAGTATGTTGTTGTAGACTATATAGGGTTGTGCCTTATAGAGTACAACCCATTAGGTTATATTCCCTTGTATCCCACCATTCTAGTTATTCGTTAACTTTGATACATGGAACCACTGCTAGGGAACCCCCTCTGGCCTGTACATCACAACAGGCGCCATGGCATGCACGTTCTCTCAGCTTCTCCATGCATCTGTTCTGAATTCAACTACTTTGTCCTGGCGCTCAGCTCGTCAAGTGCTATGTGGCTGAAAGCACCAATGGGCTGCTACAATCTGGACTAGTTTCCAAGGGCCTATGGCTGCATCTACTAGCATCCAGGGGTAGGTAGCTAGATAATCACAGTGCTTACATACGACAGTCAAAACTTATGTATAGCTAATTTAGAACAGTCAGATGTGGGAGGTTTGTTCATCGTGTGAGCTGGATTGAAAGGCATGGAAGCGGCAAGCTATCAGGCAGCCAATAACCCTTGGCATCTCGCAAAATGAGTTGCTGAATGAGTCAGTTCCTTTTTTAGGCGCCTCAAAACGCAAAATGAGTTGCTGAACGAGTCAGTTCCTTTTTGAGGCACCTCAAAACGCAAAATGAGTTGCTGAACGAGTCAGTTCCTTTTTGAGGCGCCTCAAAACGCAAAATGAGTTGCTGAACGAGTCAGTTCCTTTTTGAGGCGCCTCAAAACGCAAAATGAGTTGCTGAATGAGTAAGTTCCTTTTTGAGGCGCCTCAAAACGCAAAATGAGTTGCTGAACGAGTCAGTTCCTTTTTGAGGTGCCTCAAAACGCAAAATGAGTTGCTGAACGAGTCAGTTCCTTTTTGAGGCGCCTCAAAACGCAAAATGAGTTGCTGAACGAGTAAGTTCCTTTTTGAGGCGCCTCAAAACGCAAAATGAGTTGCTGAACGAGTCAGTTCCTTTTTGAGGCGCCTCAAAACGCGAAATGAGTTGCTGAGCGAGTCAGTTCCTCCACATGATTGGGTGCAATGCCTGTTTCATCCTTCCGCATGGGCGCAGGGGAACCTGGAAATATTGGGACAATTGGGGGGTTCGCGGAATGAAGACATAGCCGTGAAAGTGTGAAAAAGAGACTCTCACGAGCCATCTCCTCCCCCCTGCCTCTCACCTTTCCTCCCCTCCCCCTGCCTCTCACCTCCCCCCTCCCCCCCCTCCCCCCTGCCTCTCACCTTTCCCACCCTCCCCCCTGCCTCTCACCTCTCTCCCTCCCCTGCTCTCACGCCTCTCCCCCTCCCCTGCTCTCACTCCTCTCCCCCTCCCCTGCTCTACCGCCTCTCCCCCTCCCCTGCTCTCACTCCTCTCCCTCTCCCCTGCACTCTCTCCTCTCCCCTTTCCCCACTCTCACTCCTCACCCCTTCCCCTGTTCTCACTCTTCTCCTTTCCCCTGTTTTCACGCTTCTCCCTCGCCCCTTCCCTTGCTTTCACTCCTTTCCCCTTTCCCTTTCCCCTGCCCCTGCTCTCTCTCCCGCGCGCTCACGCCGCTCTCCCTCCCACACGCCCACACCGCTCTCTCTCCCGCGCGCTCATGCCTCTCTCCCTCCCCTGCCAACGCTGCTTTCGCGCCACTTATCGATTCAACTCCCTCCCTGCTTTCGCCTCTCCCCCTCCGTGCTACCGCGTCACGAAGGTCGCTTCTATCGCGTAACAAGGTCGCTGCTATCGCGTCACTAGGTCCTCCCTCGGTGACTCCCGTCAGTCCCTTGCTGTTGTAGTGTCTATCCCTACTTGTTTGTGCGTCGCTCTCTCCCTGCTATCACGTCACTCCCTTGATGCTACCGCATCACTTCCTCCCTCGAAAATCTAAACGCGGGAGGCACCGCTAAGCCCGTCGCAGCGGGTGATGCGTCACTTATTCCCTTATTCTTTATGACGCGCAGTTTCAGCTAGGCTAGGCTACCCGCGCGAGAAACCTCGTCTGTAGGATAGTTTATAGTCTAGTCAGACGTCGGTCTCGCCTTGGTCCCAAGCAACTTTCCCTTGGCCGTTTGAACTGTCAGAGTAGGGGAGTTGGGTTGCTTGGGCGAAGGTCTTTGCGTGGCTTCGACCAATCACGTGCCCTCATTTGCAGACACAGTGTAAGGAATTAGTCATTTCTTACTGAGGCTTGCTACAGGGCGTACGACTCTAACAGTCCCGAATCATCGTCAGGGTTCCAGACCTTTCAGTTCGAGCCTCCTGGGCCTTTCCGGACCTCGCTTCGACACATCGAGGCCATTCGATACCTTTCCCGGACCTTCCGATCCTACGTCCAGGATCACCCTAGGTTTCTATATATTGTGTTGTCTTTCATTTTATTGTCATTCACTCGTTCACAGTTTCGCCATTGTGCTCCGCTACTCGGCAGTCCCATTCATAACACACAGCGTCATTGTTCACTTTCCTCCGGGTGCATGGGGCTACCCAACTTTTTGCGCTCCATATTTGCTGGCGAAAACACTCGCGCCTTCCAACTTAGGGTCTGGGCTTTAAGTTGGGATGTCATACCTCATCTGCACCCGCCCACTTCCCCTACAACCAAACTCCCTACAACTTCCATATTCCTTCCAACAAATCGTTCATCCAAGTGGGAAGGCACCTCATTAATCGATTAGCTTCGTTAGAACCGATGACAAAATGTCCTATCTGTACCATCACCATGGCATCATGGCGCTAGATGCCTTTGACCTTGCAGTAAGCATAGAGACCTGATCCCAAGAACCCCATGGCTTGACCCACAATATTGACCTGCGAAAACACAACGCAGATACAACCATGTTTGCAGAGGGCAGTAGGCGGAGAGGGAAAAAACCATTTATCGCAAAGATTCCGCAAATACCAAGCAGTAGCAGCTGAACCAGGTCAGAGGCATCGATCAAACGCCAGCAATCTACACCCGTCAATCAATCATCGAATAATGCTAGTCCTACCTATCAGGAACCCAGTCACTAACCACTGGGTTAAAAGGGCTTGCTAAATAGCGGGTAAGTGCGCCCATAACCCCCCAGGCTCTGCACCTGTGGCCCTTCTCCGATGATCTTTTTAAGGGTAACCCAGCGGGTCATTCGACACCCCCCCTCGCTGGGATAGGTGGAAGACACAAGAGCCTCTGCAGCGCTAGCACTGGGACTAGAACCCAAGACCTTTGGCTCTGATACCATGTCAGAAACTCAGTCACTAACCACTGGGTTAAAAGGGCTTGTTAAATAGCGGGTAAGTGCGTCCATAACCTCCCAGGCTCTGCACCTGTGGCCCTTCTCCGAGGATCTTTTTAAGGGTAACCCAGCGGGTCACTCGACACTACCCCTACCCTCGCTAGTCCTAATGGCAACAGTCCCAGATAGTCCCCAGGTATGGTCAGTCTCACCAGCTTCCAGGGCCCCCTTGTTCCTCTTAGTCCCACCCGTGGCGTTCTTACCCTCCCTAGTCTTCACCTCCCGAGTCCTACTGAGTCAAACGGCAGGCCTCGTAACTGTGCCCATCTAATGACAACAGTCCCCAGATACGGTCAGTCCCACCTGCTTCCAACCCCCCCCTGGTTCCTTCCTGCTAGTCCCACACGTGCCATTCCTACCCCCCCTAGTCTTCACCTCCCTAGTCTTACCGAGTCAAATGGCAGGCCTCCAAACAGTGCCCATCCGATCCCCACAGTCCCCAGATCCTGAAATCAACGGTCCAGATGAGTTGAGTAGCCATGGGAATAGGAGAATGAAACAAAAGCAAGTAACTTAGAGAACAGAAGCAGGAATCCTCCAATGAACATTTGTTACGGCATGAATACATGAATACAATGACAACACAAAAGCAACAGTTGGAAGTTTGATGGAATCAGCTGGAGACTCGACAATGGATGATTTCGTTTTAAGATGTCTCAAAAAAAAAAAAAAATCCACGAAAGTTTGATGGAATAAGCGTGTATTCAGGGGCCTTGATATGAGGGCACCCTGATACCGCACCGTGTTACCATGTTACCATGTTACCACACACCTTGATGTTGCCGCACATGGTTTGCGTGAGGGCCGAGTTGAGAGTGGTATTCAGGAAGATGGTGTAATTGAGAGCAAACGCCATGATGCACGACATTGCTAGAACGGCCTGGTGGTATGGGGAGATGGGGGGAGGCAGAAAGGGGGGAAGGCAGAAAGGGGGGGAGGCAGAAAGGGCGGGAGGAAGAAAGGGGGGGAGGAAAAAGGGGGGGAGGAAGAAAGGGGGGGAGGCAGAAAGGGTGGGAGGAAGAAAGGGCAGGAGGAAGTAAGGGGGGGAGGAAGAAAGGGGGAGGAGAAGGAAAGCGGGGGAGGCAGAAAGGGGGGGAGGAAGAAAAGTGGGGGAGGAAGAAAAGGGGGGGAAGGAAGAAAAGCGGGGGGAGGAAGAAAAGGGGGGGAGGAAGAAAAGGGGGGGAGGCAGAAAAGGGGGGGAGGAAGAAAAGGGGGGGATGAAGAAAAGGGGGGAAGGAAGAAAAGGGGGGAGGAAGAAAGGGGGGGGAGGAAGAAAAGGGGGGGAGGAAGAAAGGGGGGGAGGAAGAAAAGGGGGGGAGGAAGAAAAGGGGGGGAGGAAGAAAAGGGGGGGAGGAAGAAAAGGGGGGGAGGAAGGAAAGGGGGGAGGAAGGAAAGGGGGGGAGGAAGAAAAGGGGGGGAGGAAGAAAAGAGGGGGAGGAAGAAAAGGGGGGAGGCAGAAAAGGGGGGGAGGCAGAAAAGGGGGGGAGGCAGAAAAGGGGGGGAGGCAGAAAAGGGGGGGAGGCAGAAAAGGGGGGAGGCAGAAAAGGGGGGGGAGGAAGAAAAGGGGGGGAGGAAGAAAAGGGGGGGAGGAAGAAAAGGGGGGGAGGAAGGAAAGGGGGGAAGGAAGAAAAGGGGGGGAGGCAGAAAAGGGGGGGAGGCAGAAAGGGGGGGAGGCAGAAAGGGCGGGAGGAAGAAAGGGGGGGAGGAAGAAAGGGAGGGAGGAAGAAAGGGGGGGAGGCAGAAAGGGCGGGAGGAAGAAAGGGCGGGAGGAAGAAAGGGGGGGAGGAAGAAAGGGGGAGGAGAAGGAAAGCGGGGGAGGCAGAAAGGGGGGGAGGAAGAAAAAGGGGGGAGGAAGAAAAGGGGGGGAGGAAGAAAAGGGGGGGGAGGAAGAAAAGCGGGGGGAGGAAGAAAAGGGGGGGAGGAAGAAAAGGGGGGAGGAAGAAAAGGGGGGGAGGCAGAAAAGGGGGGGAGGTAGAAAAGGGGGGAGGAAGAAAAGGGGGGGAGGCAGAAAAGGGGGGGAGGAAGAAAAGGGGGGGAAGAAGAAAAGGGGGGAGGAAGAAAAGGGGGGGAGGAAGGAAAGGGGGGGAGGAAGAAAAGGGGGGGAGGCAGAAAAGGGGGGATTCCAGTGCAACCGGAATGAGGATCTCCGATCAGCGACTGGAGAATCTCCGATGAGGTGGGCTTCCATGCTGCATGACATTGGCAGAACAGCCTGGTGGTTCGGAAGAGGGGGAGACGGGAGGGAGGAGGGGGGGAGACGGGAGGGAGGGGGGGGAGAGACAGGAGTAGGGAGGGGGGGTGGAGTGCAGTGCAACTTCCAGGAGCATCCCTGATGAGGTGGGCTTTAAGCCAGCCGACATGCTGCATGACATTGCCAGATCCGACTGACGGTTCAGGAGAGGCGGGAAGAAGCGGAATCCAAATAATGAATCAGAGGGACGGTGGATGTGCCTGGCAGGACACCACTAGTGGGTTGAGCCATAGTGGGTGGGCACACCACTAGTGGGTTGAGCCATAGTGGGTGGGCACACCACATGTCATACCATATGGTATGTCATGCATATGTTGAGCCATATGTCATACCATTCATATCATACCATACCACCCACCAACCACATCCGCCCACCCAAACCCGCACACCCACACCCACCCACCCACACATATCACGATATTGGGGTGCAGCCTGGCAGAACACCACTAGTGGGTCGAGCCATGCGTGATACCCATTTATATCAGATCAACCGCACCCAGCCCAGCCACACCCAGCCCAGCCACACCCAGCCCAGCCATACCCAGCCCAGCCACACCCAGCCCAGCCACACCCAGCCCAGCCACACCCGCCCACCCACACCTAGCCCAGCCACACCCGCCCAGCCACACCCGCCCACCCACACCCAGCCCACCCACACCCGCCCACCCACACCACACAGGCACAGATGCCAACACCGACAGCAACGCCAACATCACACACACCAACACCCAACGCTCCCCCCCCCCCCCCCCCCCTCTCCCCCACCTTTCCCCCCACTCATTCACACAAACACCCACACATACCATGCACTCGCGGCAACCCACACATACCATGCACTCGCGGCAACCCACACACACCATGCACTCAAGGCAACCCACACATACCATGCACTCGCGGCAACCCACACACACCATGCACTCAAGGCAACCCACACACACCATGCACTCGCAGCAACCCACACATACCATGCACTCGGGGTGCCGCAGTGCAGGGAAGGCCAGAACGCCAACACTACACGCACACCAACGCGTCCCCCCCCGCCCACACATACACCAGCAGCAACCCAGACACACCAGCACTCGGGGTCCCACAGAGCAGGGAGCGCCAGAACGTACATCTCACCTCCGCCCCTACCAAATCCGTTCCACACGCAGCAACGCAGCAGCACCCACACACACCAGCACCAAGGGCGCCAACACCCACACACACCAGCACCAACCCACCAACACCCACACACACCAGCACCAACCCACACATACCATGCACTCGGGGTGCCGCAGTGCAGGGAAGGCCAGAAGGCGTTGGATTTTCCCAGAGCAGCAAGCCCGGGGCGCCGATGCCCACCCCACCAACAGCGTTAGGCGTGATGCACACCCCACCTATGGCGTTGGGCGCCGATGCACACCCCACCTATGGCGTTGGGCACCGATGCACACCCCACCTATGGCGTTGGGCGCCGATGCACACCCCACCAACGGCGTTAGACGCCGATGCACACCCCACCAACGGCGTTAGACGCCGATGCACACCCCACCTACACTCCTACCAACTCTGTTCCCTCTTCCCCCACACACACACTCATACGCACCAGCACCCAACACCAACAGCAAGACCAACAGCAAGACCAACAGCAAGACCAACAGCAAGACCAACAGCAAGACCAACAGCAAGACCAACAGCAAGACCAACAGCAAGACCAACAGCAAGACCAACAGCAAGACCAACAGCAAGACCAACAGCAAGACCAGCAGCAAGACCAGCAGCAAGACCAACAGCAAGACCAACAGCAAGACCAACAGCAAGACCAGCAGCAAGACCAGCAGCAAGACCAACAGCAAGACCAACAGCAAGACCAACAGCAAGACCAACAGCAAGACCAACACCAACGCACCATGAAGTTGGGGTGCAGCAACACAGGGAACTCCAGAATGCGCTGGATCTCCCCCGAGAAGTAGGCCCAGTCCAAAGCAGAAAGGCAGGCACGCTTCCCCCCTACCCCACTCCCCACAACCCATCCTCCCACGCACCCCCCACCCCACCCAACCGCCCACGCACCCCCCACCCAACCGCCCACGCACCCCCCCACCCAACCGCCCTCGCACCCCCCACCCAACCGCCCACGCACCCCCGCACCCAACCGCCCGCGCACCAAGACGTTAAGGTGCTGCAATGCAAGAAAGGCCAGCACCCCTGAAAAGTAGGTCCAGAGCAGCAAGGCAGGCACGCTTCCCCCGCGCCAACTCCCCAACACCCACCCACCCACCCACCCACCCACCCACCAACGCACCCACCGATCAACACACCAAGAAGTTGGGGTGCAGCAGTGCAGGGAAGTCCAGAACGCACTGGATCTCCCCTGAGAAGCATGTCCAGCACGCTTCCCCTCCCCCACTCCCCAATACCCACCCACCCACCCATCAACCCACCCATCTACCCACTCACCCACCCACCCACCCACCCACCGACACAACACAGCAACGCAGGGCAGGCACACTTCCCATCCCCACCTCCCCACTCCCCAATACCCACCCCAACACCAACCTACCAAGAAATTGGGGTGCAGCAACGCAGGGCAGGCACACTTCCCCTCCCCACCTCCCCACTCCCCAATACCCACCCCAACACCAACCTACCAAGAAATTGGGGTGCAGCAACGCAGGGCAGGCACACTTCCCCTCCCCACCTCCCCACTCCCCAATACCCACCCCAACACCAACCTACCAAGAAATTGGGGTGCAGCAACGCAGGGAAGTCCAAAACGCGCTGGATCTCCCCTGAGAAGAAGGTCCATAGGAGCAAGGCTGGGACACAGATAACGCCTGCAAGACAGAAATATGCGAGGGGGACGCAGCAAAGGAGGATGGACAAATGTGAGATAGGAGGGTGAATCTGTTAAGAAGAGTAAGTCCACACCATTGCACCACACTGCACCCATGCTGACCGTTGCACCACGAAAGCCCAAAGCTGTTGAGGCCAGTGGACTTCCCTGGCAGCGCAATGAATGCGAAGTAGAGAGCTGTGGTGACGTTCGAACATTAGGCATTCGGAACACCACACTACACCACACTACACCACACTACGCCACACTACACCACATTAGAGCGCTCACCGTTGCACCACATGAGGCCGAAGCTTTGAGGCCAGTGGCCTTCCCTAGTCTCGCGATGAATGCGAATCTACGTCCTAAATGGAAATCGCCATCGCTGGTGTACCCTAAAACGTAATTTCCTGAACCCTAATAACGTAAAACACTCTAGTTAATGTCTGACTGAACGTACGGAGTGAGATTAATGGGGCTTAGGCATGCTAGGCTGGCCTGGTGGGCATAGGCAGCGCTTAGAGTTACTGGAAATCGAAAACCAAAAATGGGTTTTCGATTTCCAGGGGGGGCCAAGCTGCGCGACTCGACAGTCGAGCCGAAATCGAGCCGGCTCGATTTCGGCTCGCCCAAAATTTTCCGACGAGCCAAGCCGAGCCGCGCGGCTCGACCGGCTCGACTCGGGGCGAGCCGGCCAAAAAAAAACCCCGGCTCGACTCGCTAACCCCGGCTCGACTCGCTTATAAGGCGAGTCGAGCCGAGTTGAACCGAGCATGGCTCGGCATGCTGCCCATGTCTACACCATGGTTGCCATCCCCGATCAATGTCCGTTCGATTCTCTCCCTGACGATGTACTCATGGAGAGGTTCCTTAACCTCGTGCCAAGACCGCCGCTTTCATCTGCTTCTCGTACCAACCAGCAGCCACCTTCCACGGCCTTATCATCAGCTGCCAATAACGCCTCCTCCTCACGGCCAAAGAAATCGATCTAGAGAAACTCAAGCCTTGGCATGCTGTGAACGGCGCAGAGGAGCTGTGAGGATGAGAGATCCTCGTGACGCGTCAGGAGGAGAAACTTTATTGCGGGATAGGCGAGCTTCAGCCATCGGTGACACACGAACGGGAAAGGTGATGAAGAGGCCGTGGAAGGTGGCTGCTGGTTGGTAGGAGAGGCGGATGAAAGCGGTGGCCTTGGCACGAGGTGAAGGAACACCTCGATGAGTACATCGTCAGGGAGAGAATCGGACGGACATTGATCGGGGACGTCAGCCACGGTGTCTAGGGGGCTGTCAAGACTCGCTGTTACACCACATGAGAGTGCAACACTCGCTGCTGCACACCACACTACACCACACTAGACCACACCACACCAGCGCTCACCATTGCACCACATAAGGCCGAAGCTGTTGAGTCCCGTTGATTTCCCTAGTCTTGCAATGAAAGCGAGGTAGAGAGCAGTCGTGACGTTCGAGAGGAACACCAACGAGTAGCCGTACGCCTCGAATGAGAGGTCCCTCACTGCCGCCACCAGCGCTCCTACCACTATGACAGCCACACTGAACTGCACAAGATGCACGGACAAGGGAAATGAGACACGGGCATGCAGTCACGTTTCCACAGAGGCACAAGAGAGTGGCTTTTTGGTCCAGCCACAAGCGCTCCTGCCACTAGTGCTCCTGCGACTATGACTGTGACTGAGACTGTGACTCTGACTCTGACGGTGACTCTGACTGTGACTGAGACTGTGACTGTGACTGTGACTGTGACTGTGACTGTGACTGTGACTGTGACTGTGACTGTGACTGTGACTGTGACTGTGACTGTGACTGTGACTGTGACTGTGACTCTGACTCTGACTGTGACTCTGACTGAGACTGAGACTGAGACTGAGACTGAGACTGAGACTGAGACTGAGACTGTGACTGTGACTGTGACTGTGACTGTGACTGAGACTGTGACTGTGACTGTGACTGTGACTGTGACTGTGACTGTGACTGTGACTCTGACACTGACTCTGACTCTGACTGCGACTCTGACTGTGACTCTGACTGAGACTGAGACTGAGACTGAGACTGAGACTGAGACTGAGACTGAGACTGTGACTGTGGCTGTGACTGTGACTGCGACTCTGACTCTGACTGTGACTGTGACTGTGACTGTGTGACTGTGACTGTCACTGACTGAACGGTGACTGTGACTGTCCCATTGAGTTGCAGGGAAACAGCACACACACACACAGAAACATATGATTGCCCCCAAAAAAAAAGGCTCCCGATTACTGCTATCACCAGTGCTTCTGCCACGATGACTGAATAGGCCTGGTACTTCAACTTATGTGTTCTACGTGACATGGCCCATAGGCCCAATACACAACACTCACTTGATGAGAATGTAGGAGGAGGAGTGCCGCCGCCTGCCTGCCAAGAGCCTTTCAGCCCGGAGAGTGAACACCACTGTGGTGTGCTGGAGTGCTCTCTAAGTCACGCATGCATGCACATACACCCCCAGGCATGCACATACACCCCCAGGCATGCACATACACCCCCAGACATGCACATACACCCCCAGACATGCACATACACCCCCAGACATGCACATACACCCCCAGACATGCACATACACCCCCAGGCATGCACATACACCCCCAGACATGCACATACACCCCCAGGCATGCACATACACCCCCAGACATGCACATACACCCCCAGACATGCACATACACCCCCAGACATGCACATACACCCCCAGGCATGCACATACACCCCCAGACATGCACATACACCCCCAGGCATGCACATACACCCCTACGCACGCACTTACACCCCTAAGAGTGCAGGAGTGCAGTAGGAGTGCCTTTCAGCCTTCTCACCAGCTCGAAGCACTCTGAGCCCACCTCACAAGCGTGTAGGAGGAGGGCCGTCTGCCTGCCACGAACCTCTCAGCCAGGAGAGTGAAGGCCGCTGTGCGCCAGAGTGCTCTCAACCTATAGCCCTAAAGCCCACCTCACGAGGGTGTAGGAGGAGTGCCGTCTGCCTGCCAGAAACCTCTCAGCTAGGAGGGTGAACGCCACTGTGGTGCGCCGGAGTGCCGTGTACATGGGCACGTTGACTCCCCTAATGCTCGCCATGCCCACCACCTGTTACCACAGGGATAGCAGCACAGACATGGGCACGTGTGAAGGGCACAACCAGGAGAGCCCAGTGTACATGGGCACGTTGACTCCCCTTATGCTCACCATGCCCACCACCTATCGCACACACGGATTGCACAAAACATTTACACGTCTAGTGCACTGAGCACACAGTCAAGAGAGGGAACGCCGCTGGGGTGCGTGTCATGTACAGCACCACAGCGGCGGAGGGAACGCCGCTGTACAGTAGGTACCGCAGGGGGAGAGGCAGCCCCCTGGCAAGGGTATGCACAGGCAGAAACCCACTGCCTCTGCTCCTCCCTGCACTGAGCCTGCCTACCATACACAGCGCTAACCCCGAAAGCACATATCATATGCAGCAGCTACCCTTGAAAGTATGAACCATGTAGAGTAGATACGAAAGCAAGAGGGGCAGCACCACCCTAGTGGCACACACCATATTACCGTGCACGGACCCTACCATACACAGCAGCTAACCCCCTAAAGCACGGACCATATAGAGTGGGTACGACAGCGAGAGCAAACATGCCCCAAACCCCCCTAACACAGGTTCCCTGCTACACGTTTGTGCAGCACCACAAACCCACTGCTCCTACTCCTCCCTGCCTTCCCTCCCTTCCCCCCACTGCTCCCAGTAGCCACAGAATAGCTTGGGGCGAACATGCCTGCCTGCTATCACCGTCCCCAGCCCCACTGCATGGAAGCCACATCCACTGCACGTACCATTCACAGCAGCTACCCCCTAACGCACTTACCATGTAGAGAAGGTATGACAGCAAGAGGGTATGACAGCAAGAGGGTATGACAGCGAGAGGGTATGACAGCGAGAGGGTATGACAGCGAGAGGGTATGAAAGCGAGAGGGTATGACAGCGAGAGGGTATGAAAGCGAGAGGGTATGACAGCGAGAGGGTATGACAGCGAGAGGGTATGACACCCTAACGAGTGTATGCAGCGCCACAAACCCACTTCTCCTGCTCCTCCCAGCACGGAACCTACCACTCACAGCAGCTACCCCCTAACGCACCTACCATGTATAGCAGGTAGGACAGTGAGAGGGGCAGCACCCTAACGAGTGTATGCAGCGGCACAAACCCACTGCTCCTGCTGCTCGACTTCCCCCCCTTCCCTCCCTTCCCCCCACTGCTCCCAGTAGCCACAGAATAGCTTGGGGCGAACATGCCTGCGACCACCCTGCCCAACCCCACTGCAGCTCCCCCCCGGCTGCTGCCGCTGATACTGCTGCCACTACTGCTTCGAGCTAGAGCCACGTCAGCAGCTGAGCCATCAGCGAATGTGAGGGTGTCTGTCAGGCGCAGCACGGCTAGTAGGGCTGTTGAAGAGAGCATCTGGTGTGGGGAGTGGAACGCGCATGGGAAGGCGAGATGGGGTTAACTTTGGAGTCGACTCAAAAGTCACCTCGTTACAATGTCACACAACACTTTCGCAGAACGGCTAGTAGGGCTGTTGAAGAGAGCATCTGGTGTGTGGAGGGGAACGCGCATGGGAAGGAGAGATGGGATTAAGGGCTGCTGCTGTTGCAGTGAGCTAGAGCTAGCCATTGGCAAGGGTGAGCGCGTCTGCCAGGCGCAGTACGGCCAATAGGGCTGTTGAGGAGAGCATCTGCGAGGGAGGGGAGGGTTGGGGGGGATGTACCGGCGGCGGTAAGGTGAGGAGAAGGAAGAACAAGCTGTTTGCAAAGGTGAGCGCGTTTGCCAGGCGCAGCACGGCCTACAGGGCTGTTGAGGAGAGCATCTGCGAGGGAGGGGAGGGTTGGGGAGGGGGGGGGGAAGGAGGGGGGATGTACTGCGGTGAGGTGGTGAGGCGAAGGAAGAACAAGCTGCTTGCAATGGTGCGCGCGTTTGTCAGGCGCAGCACGGCTAGTAGGTCTGTTGAGGAGAGCATCTGGTGTGGGGTGGGGGGGGGGAGGGGGGGGGGGAGGACACACATGGGAGGAGAGGGAGGTTGAATTTGAGGAGCGGGATGGAGAGGCATCAGTAAAAGGTGAGGCGGGCTATTTTGAGGCAAGACCATCCGCTCTGGGCTCTGGCAAGCGAGCGAGCAAGCGGATTCTGCTTACATAGCAAGCGAGCGGGGGCTCTGGGCTCTTTCTGGGGTCACCTGGTTGCTATGCAGAGGCGTGGGCAACGGTGACAAGGGAAAACACACCATGGCACGGTGACAAGGGAAAACACACCATGGCACGGCACAGGCGCCAGCGGAGGGGACGTCAGGGGAGGGGACGTCATGTGTCACATGGAGGAAGATTCGAGGACGTTCCATGGAATGAACTGCTGACGTCACCTGGACGTTCCATGGAATGAACTGCTGACGTCACCTGGAGAAGGGTGATGACGTTGGCGCAGGGGAAGTTGAAGGAGGAGAGAGCGGCCTTGTTGAACATAACGAGTGTGACTGCAGCGAGGGGATGGCATGAGCATATAGAGGGCGCAAGGAGGATGTCAAAGAGTGACTTTCAAGTATGACTGGGAAGTTGAAGGAGGAGTGGGCGGCCTTGTTGAACATAACGAGTGTGACTGCAGCGAAGCCAAGAGAATACACAGAGAAAGGAGGGTGTTAAAAGCACGTGACTTCTAAGGCGCCCAGACGAAGTTGACGGAGGAAAGAGCGGCCTTGTTGAACATATCGAGTGTGAATGCAGCGAGATCATCATGTGAGTTTTGAGGCGCCTCAAAACAAGTGTGACTGCAGTGAAGCCATCATGTAAGAGGTGAGAAATGCGCTGGGAAGGTGAACTCACTGCAGCAGGAGCGATGAAGGACATCACATCTCAGTACGTGGTAAGAAGTGCGCTGGGAAGTGGCGGATTGACAAGGACCGTAGGATCCAGAAGATAAAACGGGGACATCACATTTCAGGTGCACATCACACCTCAGGTGACATCACATGTCAGGTGGACAAGGAGATCCCAGTACGTCCTATTGAGACACGCACGGAACGCCATGAACGACGCAGCGGTGTCTATTTTTGAGGCGCCTAAAAAATAGGCGGCTCAAAACACGCACGGCACGCCATGAACGACGCAGCGGTCAACACGACTGGAACTCAAACTTTCCCGCATCATCCCTTTCCCGCATCATCCCTTTCTGCTTCGCCGCGTACTTTTCTTGATTGGGACTCAACTCGTCGGCCATGCATGCAACATCCTGTCTTCATGTAACATCCAGTCTTGATGCAACCCCAACCTACCAGGGCATATGATGTATGAAACGGCGGCGAGCATGTCCTCCGCCTTCTATTGAGTTGACTCAAAAGTCATCGCGGCATGCCTCTCTGCGGCATGCCTCTCCGCGGCATGCCTCTCCGCGTCATGCCTTTCTGCCGCGCGTCGTACTTCTCGTCCGCCTGTCGCGGCAGATTGTCGTCGACCATACATGTGACATACATCCACTGGTAACCCGATTTACCTGCGCATATCATGTACGAAACGGCGGCGAGCATGCCCCTCCGCGTCATGCCTTTCTGCTTCGCCTCGTATTTCTCGCCCGCTCTTCGCGGCAGCAGATTCTGCCGCTCCGCACGAGGCGGCCCGTCCGAATGAGCATCCATCTGGCCTGGTTCGGAGCCCTGCTAGAATTATTAATATAAATCGGGTCTTAGAATCACTTAATTATCACTTAATTATCACGTGGCTCGGAGCCCTGCTAAATTTATTAGTAAAAAACTGAGAAGTAGGTGTACTGATTTTGTGACTCAAAAACACTCTACCATCACGTGGCTCGAGGCCCTGCTAGAATTTCTAGTGCAAAACGGAGAAGTAGCAACGCGGGAAAACGCGGGAATAGGTGTACTCGCAGCCAGCAACTTTCATGAAGCTAAGGCGAACACAGTCCCAAGGAAAAGGCTGATGAAAGTCGTTCTACAAGTCTCGAGTCCTTAGTCCAGACCAGACGGGAATAGGATGTCGCTAGTGGAATTTGTGTGGCCTTCGGATCCAATCCAACTCCGAGAAAGCAGATCAGGAATCAAGGGCGTAAATACGTCTAGATAATGGAGGTTCTATTTCCTTTTCAAGTCTCGGTACCCTTTAAAGCAACATTGTATCCTTCGGAAAAGCAATCCACCTAGCTCAACCGCATCTGGACGAACCTTTAGCACACCCCCTCATTGTGTTGTTTCAGGGCGTGTCACTAAAGTACATACTTTATTCAGCGCCGAGTTCAGTTACCAATTTTAGGTATGGAGTCCCAAACCGCCCGAAAGGACGAGTCCAGCCAGCACCCGAAACTAGCGGACACCAGCGCCCGTTTCAAGGTACTTGCGCCGGGCCAAATATACCGCCCAGAAATCCATCTCCCTCTCCAATTCCAGAACCACCACCAGCAAAATTTCCGCGCGAAGTTTTGCAGCCTCGCACATCGCCAGCGAACAATACACCCAGCGAACAGAATACCCCCCGCCGCGCCTATTGGCCTTCTTTTTGTTACCCACGGTTGTTGCGTTGTTTTCGCATGGTAAGACCCCGTTACCCGCTTCTATGTTCGTGCTGGTCATCGTGCTGTCCTTCCGAACGGTCCCCTCATTTCTGACCTGTTCCCAAAGCAGGATTGGTTTCAAAATCAATACGTACTGTCAGACGTCTCCACGTGTCCAAAACATTGAGCGATTTTTGGGGACTCCCTCAAAATTGGTCGTAGTCTGTGTTGATATTTGCGTGAAAACGAACACGCCATCCAGGGTGGTTGCCCGATATCAGGCAGAGGAGACAGGATCCACTACCATAGCAACGATTCACGTTCAGAGTTCACTCCTAAAAAATAGAGTCTGAAATTTCAGGGTTGTGCCTCAAAACAATTGCCAAATCAGCAATACAAAAAAATATCTGAAAAAGAAACCCTGAATCAGGGTGATTCATCTGAAAACTGAGGGCCTGTTTGAGTGAAATGGCATTGAGCAATGTTGGGCTGAGAAAAGCCCTTAGGATTTTTCCAGATACTAAGTCCAGTTGTAAAGGGAGACTTGAGTAGTGCAGCGGAAGTTGAGTAGTTGAACCCTTGAACTGGTATATGAGAACAAGTGATTGATTAAAAGAACAAACATACAGCAATATATAGAAAGTAGGAAAGTAAAGCTGTTGTAGAGTACAGTTGAAAGAGCGGTTATCGAGTCGCACAGCGACTCGATTGTCGCTTCGGTTACCATCTTTGCAGTTGTAACTGTCAGTCGCAACCTCCAGTTGCGACCCTTCGAGTCCTTCCGTGTTCTTTGTCCATCCCCTCGTGTAACCTCCGTTGACTCGCGTACCCGTTACGACCTTCATCGAGTGTGGTGTTACACTTCAGAAACGCTCAAGTCCTTGAGATATTTCCAACACTCCCCTTCGTTTCTGGGGTGCTGACGTGTTCAGATCCGGCGACATTTGTCTGCCCGGTCAGCAGCATGCAGTAATCGAACTTTGCCTTCGCCAATTTCTTCGTCAGGTAGTTTGCGGCCATTTCTGTCGTAAGGCAGTAACTGAGTTGAAGTCTCCCCTTCGCGATTTCATCATTGACGAAGAAGTATCGCAGGGCGATATGCTTGGTTCGGTTGGCGAAGCCGTCCTTGTTCGCGATTTTGATTGCAGATTGGTTATCGCAGAGGAGTGAGAAGACGGGCAGGGTCGCAATCTTTGCTTCCTCAAGTAACTCTCGCAGGTAAAGTCCTTCCTTGGTCGCAGTGCAGAGGGCGATATATTCTGCTTCAGCCGAAGATAGTGCGATTAGTGTTAACGTAGAAACGAATGATTACAAGAGGTGGAAACCTAGAACAAATACTAGTTGGTTGTACTCACTAGAAGCATACCTCAGTCTAGCCTATAACTTCTACATAGATAATATGTATAAGTTGACACACCCCCTAGGCTAGACAAGGGGTGAAACTAAACAAGAAGCAAACAGCTCAGGGCGGCACTACTAGTCCAACCACTGAGGCAGGGGTCTGGAGACCAGTCAGCAAGAATACAACCAAAACTGAAGCAAGTCAGGGTGGCACTACTAGTCCAGCCACTGGAGGTAAGGCCACAAGGCCAGTCTGACAAGCATATATAATAGAGAGTACACAATCAGGATCCTAACAGGGGAGCAGCTATAGGAACAAGACCAAGCTGTACACAGTGCCGCTGATGATCTTTAGGCGCAAGCGCCTTAGTAAAGATATCAGCTGTGTTGGCACCTGAGGCCAAGTGAACTACGCGGGCCTGGCGGCGCTGCTGTAGCTCGCGCAGGAGGAAGTACCGCAGCTGGATATGCTTCGCTCTGCCCTCAAGCCGAGGCTCCTGACACAGGAGTATCATGGCCCTGTTGTCAGCGTACAGGACCGGGGCAGAGCTAGGCCGCTCACCTAAGTCTGTGAGCAAGAAGGTCAGCCAGCGGAGCTCCTGTGCCGCCATGGCACCAGCGTAGATCTCAGCCTCACAGCTAGACTGAGCCACAGACGACGAGCGAGTGGATCTCCAAGAGATAGCACCCGAACCAAGGCTGAAACAGTAGCCCTGCGACGACCTGAGCGTCTCAGCGTCGTCTGCCCAAGAAGCGTCTGTGTGCCCAGTAAGGACCACTGGCCTGCGTCCTCCTAGCACTAACCCCATGCCTGATGTACTAGCAAGATAACGCAAAACCCTCTTAGCGGCAGACCAGTGCTGAGGTCGGTGTCTGCCTGTAGCCACAAAGCGAGCCAGGATGCTGAGAGGGTATGCGAGATCTGGGCGAGTGCAAGTCATCAGGTACATGAGGCAACCCACCAGCTCTGCGTAGGGGCCACTGGGCTCTACTGGCTCCTCAGGAACGGGAGCAGAGAGCCCATGGTCTACGGGTAGAGGTGTGGGCTGTGCGGAGGAGAACTGAAGACCGAACCTCTGAAGGACCTGACGCACCAAGTGTGACTGGGTCAGAGTGATGGTGCGTGCTGCTCTGTCCCTAGAGATCTGCAGGCCAAGATAGCGACGCAGCTCTCCAAGGTCAGTGCAGGTGTGTCTCTTCAGCAGCTCAGCCTTCACAGAGGCCAGTGCGTCCCTGTCAGGAGTAGCGAAGACCAGGTCGTCTACGTAGACAAGGATGTAGAACGGAGTCTGGCCGGAACGCACAAACAGTGAAGGGTCAGCAGAGGACGGAAAGAACTGCAGGTCTGCTAACGTGGCACGTAGCGTGTCGTGCCACTCGCGGGGAGCCTGACGCAGGCCGTAGACCGGGCGCCTGAGAAGCCACTGGGTCCCAGGAGGGAAGGTACCAGTGAAGCCCTGTGGTCGGCGCAGGTAGACCTGCTCGTGTAGGCTGCCCTGAAGAAAGGCAGTAGAGAAGTCGAGAGAGTGAAGCTCGTAGTCACGCTGTGCTGCTACGTGTAGCAGCGCCCGAAGAGTGGTCATCTTCGGGGTCGGGGCGAAGGTCTGGAAGAAGTCAACCCCCTCGCGCTGACTGAAACCTCTGGCCACGTAGCGCGCCTTGAAGACAGGCGGCTCTCCAGGGGGACGCTTCACCTTGAAGAGCCACCGACCATCGACTACGTTCACCCCAGGCGGGGGAACTGCGTCGACGTAAGTGCCGGTGGATCTCCAAGATGCCATCTCCTGCTCCATGGCAGCTATCCACTGAGAGGCCCAAGGTCCCGAGGTGGCCTCAGCGTAGGTGCGAGGGGTCGGGATGTCGAAGGCGTCTGGGTCACCCTCAGGGACTAACAGCATGGAGCAGAGATGGGGAGCAGCCTCGGAAAGGAAAGCCAGCTCGTACTGCCTGTCCTCTAGGACGTCACTGCCAAGGGCAGGAGCACCCCCGACGGACAGAGGACGGGCAGGGTCAGAGACCAGAGCGGTAGCGTAGTCAAGGCGGCGGGTAGAAGCGAAGTCAGCGACAGCAGCGACAAGCGCGTCAAGGCGCGAGACAGGAACAGCAGGGTCGGTAACAAGAGAGGCAAGGACCCGAGGGACAAGGGGACGAGCAGCACGGAGGTAGTCAGAGAACGGAGGAGGTGCAACAGCAAGGGACGAGGGAGGAGGGGACGGGAGGAGGGGAGGACGAGACGAGTGGGAACGGAGCAACATAGGGTGGGTGGGCAGGACAGGAGAGACGGGACGAGCACGGGAGGGACGGCGAGCCCAAACGTGAGACGGAGGGGTAGGGTCAGGGGACAGCGGAGGAGACACAGGAGGGGAACGAGGAGGAAGACGGGCCGGAGACGAGTCTGGCGGCGGGAACACAGGACCGTAGACAGGGAGGTCAGGAGGCGGTGGGGGAGACACCGGCGCGCGGTCCGGGGAGGGAAGGCCGAGCAGGCGGAGAGCGGAAACCGGCGGCGACGGCTGCTGTGGCGGCGACGACGGCTGGGCCGGAACTCTCGGACCAGCAGAGGCAGAACGACCGTCGGCAGAACACTCAACAGCAGCACCCCCAGAACCAACACCCCAAGAGCGAGAACCCCCTCCAACACCAGCGGCACCCCCAGAAGCCGCAGGACGAACACCCTCCTCCACACCAGCACCCCCAGGGGCCGAGAGCAGCGGCGGCAGTGGCGGCGACAGCGGCGACGGCTGCGGCGGCGACGGCGACGGCGGCGGCAGCGGGGTCGGCGACTGCGACAGTGGGGGCGGAGGCACTGGGGAAGGGGGACGCGGCAAGGACGGACCGGGGGTACCACCAGAGTCAGCAGACTCCTCAACGGGGACAACCGACGGGAGGGGAGTGACGTGGGAGACACCAGACGGGGCAGGACGAGGCGGGAGAGGGGCAGGGGCTACCGGGGGAGAGGGAGCAAGGAAAAGGGGGGGGGCAACTGGGAGACCTCGGTGAGGGAAGCGGCGGTAGAAGGAGACGGACTCGTCAAAGGTGACGTCACGAGAGTGGAGGAAGCGGTGAGACGGCGGGTGGTAGAAAAGCCAGTCAGACGAGTCCAGGGGGAAACCGAGGAAGACACAGGGGACAGTGCGGG